CACTTATAAATTCTTCAATTTTATAATAAGCTTTTTTACAAAGAAAATATTTCATGACTCATTTGAATTGGCGTAATTTAGATTTAAACATGAATTTGGTAGTGCAATATTGCAACTAATGAATTTTAAAGTATTTCACGGAGGGTGCGGCGGTACAGACCGCAATCTCTCCTGAATCCGCAATGCGGTATCTCATCTCCCACTGCGTCACAACTCACGGCCAGTCACAGTCACGGATAGTACTGAATAGTAAACTAAAAGTCAGTCATGAATTCATTACATAGTATAAAATAAAGTCGCTGTCGCTGTCTGTCCGTCCCTATATATGCTTCAATCTTTAAAACTACGCAACGGATTTTGAAGCGATTTTTTTAATAGATAGAGTGATTCTAGAGGAAGGTTTATATGTATAATAAACGTACACCCGTGCGAAGTCGGGGAGAGTAGATAGTTTATATTATAAATTGCAAGTAAAGTTATTTGTAGAGTGCATAATAATAATTTCTGCATGTCAGTAAGTACATGACATGACTCGAATTTCATCAGTCATCAGTTTATAATTGCATAAGCACACATCAAGTGTCTTGTTATAAATAATAGGTTTTATATTAATTAGTATAAAATACCAACATGACGTAATTTTGTAACGGAAATACATATAACGTAATAATTATATTAATAACAATGAATGAAGTTTGTTATAAAAAACAATACAATTATCTCGCCTTCTTCGGTGGTCCAGCGAAATGAGTGAACGAATGTATGACTAAAGATATTTTTATATGTATATATATATTTACAAATCTCAAATTTCTAAAATATATATATTTACTTTATTGTGTATACGACTGGTTTTCAGTGGTACCAAAATGAGGAAAAAATATATAAAAATATACATTAATAAAACGGACTTTGGCCACTCGGCTTCTTTGTTTAATCAAAGTAAGGGAATTAAATTCAAAATATCTTTGTTCACGTAGGTCTATTACAGTCTTATGATATGTCAAATCTACCGTCAGTTCGGAATGATTTCGAGATGAGAAGAACTGACAAGAAACTCAGCTCGTATTCTTTTCAAATAAATGTACATGTTTACAATAATACACAGTCACTAAAATTCAAATTTGGGAGAATAGAGTGACCACCAGCATATGCTATTGTAAAAAACGAAAGATAAAGGAAGTAAAGCTGAATGCTAAACCACTAGACCATCCAAGTCGAAAGCAACTACTCAGCAGTCGGGGGAAGGGTCAAGATGCTAACTATCTAAATGACCTCATGTTCATCCTATCATCCTCCACTGGTGCTCCGCCAGCGTAAACCGTTAGCGCAGGCAGGTGCACCATTCCATTATCATCCATAAAATCAAATGTACCATGTCAGGTTGATCTTCACGCGGCTCCCCGTGGAAATCATCATGATAAACTCTTAGTGAATTAGTCAAGATGAGCTAACTGATATGACCTCATGTTCATCTTATCATCCTCCACTGGTGCCCCGCCAGCGTAAACCGTTAGCACAGGCCACCATTCCATTATTATTACATAGTATAAAACAAAGTCGCTGTCGCTGTCTGTCCGACCCTATGTATGCTTAAATCTTTAAAACTACGCTACGCATATATATATATATATATATATATATATTACATGTACACCCGTGCAAAGCCGGAGCGAGTAGAGTTATCCAAAAAGAAAATGTACCATGTCAGGTTGATCTCCATACGGCTCCTCCTGGAAATCATCATGAAAAACTTTTGGAGAATTTGTAACTGAACTGTTGTTCATCTTATCATCCTCCACTGGTGCTCCGCCAGCGTAAACTGTTAGCGCAGGCTGTACACCTGTCTTTATGTTATTAATGTTATAAATGCGAAAGTTTGTGAGTACGGTTGGTGTTTGTTACTCTTTCACGGAGAAACTCTTCAACAGATTTTGTTGAAACTTTACAGTGATATAGCTTATACATCAGAATAATACAGTCTATAAATTTTAGGCGAGTAAAACCGCGAGCGCTAGCTAGTCATCCATAAAAAACTACTCATAAGTATCTAAAACAAAATAGTTTTATTGTAATAGGGTGACAGAACTTAGGGTGGGGTTAGTACAACGGAAGTTAGTCCCGGTCAGCCCCGGACGGTACGCCAACATGGCGAGGCGGACGATCCCTCACGTGTGGTGCGTGCCACACCTGTTGCGTTATGGTGTCCTGGTACTAATAAATAATTTTCTTTGCTTTATCTTCTCTCTCTTTCTTCTTTCATATTCTCTTGAATGAATGAATGATGAATGAAGAGTGAACTAAAATGACCGGACTAAAATGTCCATACATGTGGCGCGTGGTGGGCGGGGTCATTGGGTTCTCTAAAATATGGTCGACCGCACTGATGGCTAGCTCATCCGTCATACTCGAGAACGAGTGCTGTTTGTAGAGACTGGTCTGCTCTTATCACTACGACTGTTAATCTTATTGTGTTTTTATATTTGAGCCTAAATAAATTAGTGTTGGTTGGTAGTTTGGCACACGTTTCGACTTGTAAATGTGAACTTACAAGGATTATTTAAAAGAGCAAGACACAAGTTTCATGCTCGTTCTTCTTGTGATGAGACAGCATTCCGAATGAGCGGTACATTAATAAAAATATTACTGTTCAATAGTGCTTAAATTGAGTTTATTTGAATAAATGATTTTCTATTCTATTCTATTCTTTAATCACTTAATTTACTAGTTTTAATCCGCGGCGCTGCCTGCGTGAATTCTAGTAAAAGATATTCTATGTACCAAATTTCAGTATATATTTCAGTAATACATTTTTTTTGTAAATCCATACTAATGACATACATACAAAGAAAACACCTAGATCTATACAAACAGCTATACTAATGAATACAAATGTTTGTATCGTGCGAGGAATCGAACCCGCGACCATCGGAAATAAAGCGGCATGCTGAACCCCCAAGGCCATATAAATCCTTTATTCTATGTAATGTGGAATAATATCATCAGGCGGGGCTTAAGCTATTTCTTTATTGGTATGATTGACAAGAGCAAAATATTAGAACAGTTATTAAGAGAAAAAATAGAACAGGTTTTATATTTACACGTATAATTAGTAAAAATCACGGGATCTTACCACGTTTTATATTTATTGAGTTTCCGATATTTCGGCAGTGTTTCAACCGCCATGATCACTGAAACTGAAGAGCAGCGAGTAGATGGTAAATAAAATCTTCTTATGGGCAGACATATACGCATTAGAGAGCCTATCACCGTCCTCCCGATTGAAATTTTTATATATCTGTATTTCAATGGCCTCTCTGCAGCAAGAATGGTTAGAGAGACCGTGTAGTGGAATATAAAACGTGGTAAGATCCTGTGATTTTTACTAATTATACGTTTAAATAATGAACGCGTCAAATTTAAAACAGGTTTTATATTATGATAAAAAAACCTAGCGAGGTTTATCAGAGATCGAAATCTGTAGTCTAGCAAACACTAGCGAGGCGTGCGTCATAACGACCTATAAATGTAATTTATGAACGCGAACTGCATATAACGTTGCAATTTTACCGATAAGATATCTAAAATTGATTAGACTTTTTGTTTTTGCAATATCATATGCTGGTGGTCACTATATTCTCGCAAATTTGAATTTAAAAATGCATCTGTATTATTGTAAAGATTTGATATATCATAAGAGTCTTCAATAGACCTACATGAATAAATATTTATATATTGAATTTAGAATTTTGATACAGTCCTAACTCATGCCTGAGGGGTAACTTATACTTTATTTAACTCATGCCTGAGGGGTAACTTATACTTTATTAATGTTGTGTGTTCTAAATTAATACTCACACATTATTTCTTTCATTATTTAAAAATTGCAAAACGCTGGCAAAATAGGTAATGTCAAATTTGTCTTCTGACACTGGTCATCCGCACCTCATAGGATATATAGGATCAAGGTTGAGACTTCTGAGCAAACCCCTTTACCCCGGTTTCGACTCCGGGGGCAACAACTCCCAAGTAGCTAGGTTGTAAGCCTCTTAAGACGAGAAAAAAATGTCCCCAAGCATATGGGAATCATTACTAGTATAAAACAAAGTCGCTGTCGCTGTCTGTCCGTCCCTATGTATGCTTAAATCTTTAAAACTACGCAACGGATTTTGAAGCGGTTTTCTTTTAATATAATTAAATATTGTAATGGGTGAAAACTGTGATTGGTACGGTTTATGCTGTAAATAATATAAATGACGTAGTGGAGTAACTTGAAACAGTCATGCTCGCTATAAAGTTCAAACTTGTGGCGGCGTGGTGGGCCGGGTCGATGTGCTCCCTCTAATATGGTTGAGTGCAATGATGGCTGGCTCATCCGTCATACTCGTGAACGGGTGCTGCTTGTGGGGACTGGTCTGTTCAGGTTGCAAACACTGATTAGATTTTTTGATTTTTTTATATAGCATATGCTGGTGGTCACTCTATTCTCCCAAATTTGAATTTAAATGAAATAGTATTATTGTAAATATGTACAACTTCTCATCTCGAAATCATTCCGAACTGACGGTAGATTTGACATATCATAGGAGTCTGTAATAGACCTACATGAATAAAGATATTTTGAATTTTGAATTTTGAATTATAATAGATAGAATAATTTAAGAGGAAGGTTTATATCTATACATGTACACCCGTACGAAGCCATGGCGAGTAGCTACTTAATATATGTAATTAACATAAAAAGATATTTAATTAACTAAAGTTTTTTAACTTAAGAACTAGGTCCATACTTAAGGACAATTATTTGTTTAGTGTTTTCTTTTTTTATACCTCCAATTATACTTACACAAATAATTAAGCTACTAGTTTTAAAAAATACATAACTTGTACGGTGGCGAGGGGACAGCGGTCGAGAATGCAACTCACTACACCGCGACACTACGCTCGTTGGAGAATGCAGTCAACCGCAGGCAGTCTGCAGTCATATCGCACGGCGCATCACCATCGCTCGGACGTATCCGCCTCGTGCGACCGACAGATCTATCGTAAGAAAGCACGCGAGTTTTAGTTGATAGTTTGCGATAATCAGTGTGGAGTTCAGTGACAATTCTAGTGGAACAGTTGTTTATTGTTTGGAAACACCCGGTGTTTGTAACATTTAGGTGAGTTACAATGCAATTTCTTTTCATTTTACGACGGTAGTAATTTTAATTTGCGATGTTTTGTTTTGTTTTAATTTAATAGCTACTTGCCCCGGCTTCCTACGGGTGTACATGTATTATATATATAAACCTTCCTCTTGAAATCTATTAAAAAAATCCACAACACCAATATTGGGATGAAGGTAAGGCATGATGAGTTTTATATCCATTACTAGAGAATTTATTTGCATTAGAATAGAAAATTTCTTATTAAAATAAACTTATAGCACTTTTCAATAATATTTATATATTATTTTAATCTACCGCTCACTCGGAAAACTGATAAACTTATAGCAGTTTTGAATAGTCTTTATTTTTTTTTAATCTACCGCTTGGAAAACTGTCTCATCACAAGAACGAGCAAGAAACTTGCGTGTTGCTCTTTTAAATAATTTTGTTGTAACTTTACATTTTTAAATTGAAATGTGTGAATACAAACTACCAACAAGTGCTAATTCATTAGATTCAAAATACACAACCAAGCTGTTGAGTATTGATTCCCCATACAAACTTTGATCTCTTAAAAAATTGGAGTATCTGTTTGTAATATTGAAATAACCGTTTTTTACTACATGCATATGAATATAAATACGGTACATACACCAAAATAACATTTTTTTAAAATTTTGTCTGTCTTTCTATCTGTTCCGGCTAATCTCTGAAATGGCTGGACCGATTTTGATGGCACTTTTATTGGCAGCTAGCTGATGTATAGTAATAAGGAGTAACTTAACCACTTTTATTTTATAAAAATACTTTTGTTTTAAGAAAATAAAGTTAAATTCCACGCGGACAAAATCGCGGGTGTAGCTACTAGATTAGTTTGTTTTATAGAAAAGATAAATAATATTTAAATTAGCAATTACTCACAAGTGAACATATATTGTGGTTGCAATGAATAAGTTTTAATAATATTTCAATAAAATTAATATTTCATAATTATTCAAATGTATTGGGTAATTATCATTATTACAAAGAGGATGTTATTATGTGCTATAAATTATGCAGTTATTTTTATTAATTAGTATCAAATAAATTAGATTTAATTAGCTAATATATTTAAACAGTCAGTTTTTTTTTATACTATGGTGGCAAACAGGCATACGGCCCATCTGATGGTAAATGGTTGCCTATGGACGCCTGCAACACCAGGGGTGTCACGTGAGCGTTGCCGACCCTTAAGAAACCTTAATATACCCTTTTTGAAAAACGTAGAAAACGAATAAGCACATTGATAGAAATTGTTGTTGTTACAAATATTATGTACTATAAAAAATTCTCGTGTCGCAGTGTTAGTTGCTTTGCTCCATCAAAAAGGCTTGGCCGATTTTGATGAAACTTTATATGTTTATTCAGCAGGTTTGAAAATAGGTTGTTATCTATTTGTTAACCCCAAATAAGGATGGTCAACCCAAAAAATATATTTATATTTGTGCTAGATGTAAAAATATATATTATTGAAAGAAAGAAAGAAAGAAAAATATTTTATTCAGTGCAATGTAAAAAATACAATACAATCATACATTATTGAATATATATTTTTACATTTAGGAGCACTAGTAAATAGATGGTTGGTTTTATTTCGGTCTATATTTTAGCTGTCTGTTAGCTTATATCTCTTAAATTACCCAACGGATTTTAATGTAGTTTTTAGCAATATATGGAGTGATTCAAGAGGAAGGTTTATATGTATAATACATACGGATTATAGTCTAGAACAAGCCGATAAATTCAAAGATATTAGTATGTATCATTACATAGTATAAAACAAAGTCGCTGTCGCTGTCTGTCCCTATGTATGCTTAAATCTTTAAAACTACGGAACGGATTTTGAAGCGGTTTTTTTTAATAGATAGAGTGATTCTAGAGGAAGGTTTTTACAACCGAGCGAAGCCGGGGCGTAGTTAGTTGTACATATAAACCTTAAAACTATTGGAACCTAGTATTTGTAAAAATATACAAGGTACATACTTTACTCCAGTTATAGTCACCGATTAGACTATTTCCTGACAAATTCCTCGAAAATTTACTTGTATTTTTATAAACATGTACAAGTACACCAACTCAAAGTCGCTCAACGAGCTATGGAAAGAGCTATGCTTGGAGTTTCTCTGAGGGATCAAATCCGAAACGAAGTAATTCGCCAGAGAACTAAGATCACCGACATAGATCTTCGTATTTGCAAGTTGAAGTGGCAGTGAGCTGGTCATATCTGTCGCTGGAGTAGACGTGTTCTAGAGTGGAGACCGCGAATTGGCAAGCGTAGTGTAGTACGCCCCGCAGCTAGGTGGAGCGACGACATACGTAGGGTTGCGGGTAGTAACTGGATGAGAAGGGCTGAAGTTCATGCCCAGTAGCGTGCCTTGGGAGAGGCCTATGTCCAGCAGTGGACTGCAGTGGGCTGATGATGATGACGATGTACAAGCTCATTTGAAAATGAGCTGCGTTTCTTGTTAGTTTTTCTTATAACAAAAGTACTCCGAAATAACTGTAGATTTGATATATCATAGGAATCTGTAATAGACCTACATGAATAAAGATATTTTGATTTTTTTTAACCCTGGGTAATTCACACAATGTCACTAGACAACTGATACTGTACTGACACGGTACTAGACAACTGATATAAATACTTAGATATATTTTTTTGTAAATACATACATGATATACATAGAAAACACACAGACCGATACAAACAATGATACTCATGAATGTTTGTACCGTGCGAGGAATCGAACCCGCGACCATCGGGAGTAAAGCAGTGTGCTAAACCGCTAGACCACCGAAGTCTTCTCCGATCGATCCCCAATTCAACGGGGATCGATGTTACGACGGCCTGATCCGAGGTTCGAACCCCTAGTGGCGCTCTCAGACTAAAGTCGTATCCGTTAGGCGGGAGTTCCTTCCTTCGGCCTTCAGCCGCTCCATAAGTCCTTCCTTTGGTTTGGAGTGCCATCTGCACTCGCCCCCTATCGTCCGGTGAATTAAAGCCAGCTGCGGCCAACAGCATTAGAGTAGTCCGAAAAAAAAACCACCGAAGTCGTAATTGAATATACGAGTATATATTTACAAGTAGAAGCACTAGTAAATAGTTGGTTGGTTTTATTTCGATCTATTTTTTAGCTAAAACATAGACCGAAATAAGTGACCATGTGGTGTTGGTCCTTCGACTGTAACGCGATCTAGTTACGAGGTAAAATGGCCGCTAATTACTTACAATGCTGTTAGCAATATTAATTTAACATAGTACATAATTAAGAATATACCTGACTATCTAATCTATACATATAAATATAATTGGAGTGTCTGTAATATTGAAATAACCGTCTTTTACTACATGCATATGAATATAAATATGGTACGTACACCAAAATAACATTATTTACAATTTTTGTTTGTCAGTCTGTTCTGGCTAATCTCTGAAATGGTGGGACCGATTTTGACGAGACTTTTATTGGCTGGTAGCTGATGTGATAAGGAGTGACTTAGGCTACTTTTATTTTGGAAAAATAAAGTTAAATTCCACACGGATGAAGTCGCGGGGACAGCTAATCTATACATATAAATTTAATTGGACTGTCTGTTTGTAATATTGAAATAACCGTCTTTTACTACCTGCATACGAATATAAATACGGTACATACATCAAAATAACAATTTTTACAATTTTTGTCTACCTGTCCGTGTTTGCTCCGGCTAATCTCTGAAATGGTGGGACCGATTTTGACGGGACTTTTATTGGAAGGTGATGTGATAAGGAGTGACTTAGGCTACTTTTATATTAGACAAATAAAGTTCAATTCCACTCGGACGAAGTCGCGAGGACAGCTAGTAATTAATAAGTTATGATCGTGTTCAATAAAACATTTAGCAAATTAATACCAAGTGAATATGGCTGTAGTTTTATTACTTTAACTGTAGACTAATTTAGTAAAGTACCTACTAGACTAACTACTACTACTACGGTTTTTTTTATTGGGTTGTTTGGGCTATTGTCAGAGCATCTGTAGCACTGCGACCTACATAGATCTATTGAGCTCGCCCTTTTTCAAAGTTCGCTACCTAGACCCGTCAGGGACAAGAATTGAAGGATATTCTTAGATTACGGTTAAAAAATTACTTACGTATCAATTTTCATAGGAAATCGTTCAGTAGATTTTTCGTGACAGAATAACCAATATTAATCTAACTTCATAAACTTTCGCTGTACATTAGTAGGACTTTTAGTATTTAATGTTCTATATATAAAAAAATACATTTGTAAATCTGTTTAAATACTATTGTTGCAAGTTGACAGTTAGTTACTGGCAGCATAGATTCATTATTGTATAGAAAAATAAATACAGATATGTCAAACATTTTTACCATAAAAATATATGTTGAAAACACATGTTATTAAAATATCTCGCCGTCAATACACATATATATATATATTATAGAAAGACCGCACAAATAAGATTTTCAATAACTGTATAATGAAAGATATTTATTCACATTTTGCTTCTTGGAGAATGTAGTTTAATTTTAGTTTAATTTAAATACAGTAACATTACAGTTACAATTGGAGTTACACGAGACATTTCATTGGAACTAGAAACTTATAGAATTGATGAATAATCGAACAACTCACCTGCCACAAATACGAAATCCTTTTTTGAAGTCGGTCAAAACAATCAGCAATTGTAGTAGTATATTTGACTTTAGTTCAATGGAGGCCCGACAGGTCGATGCAAGAAGTGTTTGTGTCGGAGACGCTCGACCTCGGCGCTATAGTTTTTGTAAGCATTATTGTTAAGTCCAGTTTGCGGATATCGCCTCTTTAGCTCTGAATGCCTGGTACTGCAAGTGAATTAAACAAACACTGACACTGGTCTAAAATGTTCGTTTTCTCATATTGATGCTGCTCTGAATGCTTGGTACTCCAAGTGATTTGACTACTGACACTGTTGTTTAAAGTGGCT